AAATGCACTAACAGCTGGACACTTCCACAGTCAGGACGCCGTCGGAAGCGTTTAGTGAAGTCGGTTTTAGACCGGATGTAATGGATCTGCTGGAGCGTGTGCATGTATGAGTAAAGTTCACCTAGCGGAGCAACGGAAGAGAAAGCTTTCATCAGCTTAACACCTTCACCTTATCTACAAGTCTGAATGGGTACTCTGTGTCCATCACATTTATAGACACGCATACATAAGCATGCATAAAAATAAACAGCCGCGCTCGAAGCGCGCGTTCATGCCATACCATGTGTGTGTACAGTTACAGAGGAAGTCATTCCCCTATTAAAGGTCAGAGGACACAGAGGTTATTGGGAGTGTACTCAGTGCTATACAGGGGAGCAGAAAGAGCAACGTACAGTTTATGGAGGAGGGAGAGAGCAAATAAGGCTGTTTCCACTCCTGGCAACATTCTGCACATTTTCCTGCGAGTGTCTGTGGAGTATCAGAGCAGGAAATGGAGTGAAAAGGAGGGATGGCGAGAGAGCGTAAAGGCCACAGTAGCTCATCATTTTTAAGTGTTCAAATCTCACATAATGGTGGTCCCTGTCTTTATCTGCTTATGGCTTCACCTCAAAGCACAGACAAAGGTGGTAATCACATCTTTGCCACAACAGCCAAATGCTGTTTGTGTGATCCCGATGAAGGACAACTGTTTCCAAAGCACATAATTTGTAGGCACAAAGACGGGTATATGCTCGGGGTCAGTGCTGGGTGATGGTCAAGAGTGATGGCTGCTTACCTCACAGTAATGCTGATTAAAGAGTTGGAGCAGAGAGTGCCGGGGTTGCTAATAGCTTGCTTGCGCATGTCTTGTGGGATTGTGGGTTTCTTATAATTGGCCTCGGGCAGGTCCATTCGCAGATCTAGCAAGAGACGTCAACAAACAAACAAAAGGAAAGAGGGGAAAAAAGGAGAAACAAGTTGTCCATTCGCAAGCTTTCATCATTGTTGGAGGATGAAAAACAAGTTGAACAAACCCACAAATCCTAAAGTGAGCCCAGCCAAGCCCTGATGATTAAAGATGATTGCTCTCCTTTTGACGTAACTGAAGCAAGCACAGACTAAACAGACCGCAAGTGGCATACAGGAGCCGGCACACAATGGAAGTGAAATGCCAAACTCCTGAACGACCTAAGGGCAGGTACATTGTTGTGCCCCATTAACTATGAAGTTCCTTTGAAAATAACTCAGTGGAGGAAAACATCAGTGGCCTTTGCCGCTCGCTCTCTGGCCTGAGAAACATCCACACATGTGCTGCACAGTGCACTCACGCACATACAAGTGGACACATGTGGGCAGACACACACACACACACACACACAGTCTAAAACAAAGACACATGGACAGGCTGTAATTGTTAGGAAGGAATCAAGCAAACAAATGATGTCATTATCTCAAAGCACACTAGCTTGAATAGCATTACCATATCAGTGGGAGGCATTAGGCATTCTCGCCTTTCACGGTTTCGGGCTCACAAGTGAGAGAGAAAATAGAGACGGCATTGTTCTGATTTACACTCATACATGCGACATTTTCCCATGTCAAACATGCTATGTCACGGTGAGAAAGTCATGCAGCTGTTTTGGTATTTCTGTCATCTCTCAGAAGGCAATCCCTGAGGGCGCTCCCCTGTGCTGCTGCTGCTGCTGCTGCTGCTGCTGGTTTCTTTTCTTTTTTTTAGGTATTAGCGTACAGGAGGCATACAAATGTTCATGAAACATGATGAGAGCAGGATGAAGGCTGTAATACGCAGGTCCCCATGGCAACAACACAAAAACGGCATGCACTCTCCATGGCAACAGGGCTGGCGAGGGAATATAGCGGAGACGGGGTTGGAGCTGGTTCTGGCCTCTGGCTGTTTGAAGTGATACACGGACGCCAGCAGCACAGCATCAGCAAGTAGTTCACTCACACTGAAACGTCTGACATGTTACTTCTGTGAGTAGATAGTGGTACTGACATGATAGAAGCGTTTTATAGTCCATCATTTTTATGTTAATAATGGATTCCCATGACTCAAAACCACAAAAGACGAACACCCACCTGTGCAGGTTACCTTTAAGCATCTCTTTATATATTTATTGTTTTTGTTCACTCGTGTAGCTCTCATTAACTGCTAAAAAAAACACTGTACATTACCTTCCCAGTACTAATTAGATGGACAAAATTAGCAACTACCTGGCAAACATGTTGGAGCATTTAGCAGCAAAAGAGCCAGATATTGTTCTCAGGGGTCGGTGGGACAGAGCTAAAGGGGGAGTGAATATTGGACTTGCATTTGCCAGTGTGTCAGAAACGCAAATGAATGATAATGTTGCTCCATGACAGCTGGATGTGTGAACAAAAGAAAACTTTTTAGTGACATGTTACATCTGCGTCACTGTTGCTTTAAGCTCTTTTTTACCCCCACACCAAGCCAATTAATTGTGGAATAGTTTTATATTTTGTGACAGGAGGCCTCATCCCTTTCTGGCGGAGAGTTCGATGAGAAGATCGATACCATTCTCAGTCTGCAGCTGGTTAGCTTAGCATCAAGACAGGAGGAAACAGTTAGCCTGGCTTTGCCCTTCTAAAGCCCACAAGCAGCATGTCATATCTTGTAAAATCACAGTGAGTTATGTGCTGAACTATTTCTTGGCTGGGAACAGTTTCCAGCTGACTTCAGGAGCCAATAGCCCCAATAAAATACCAACTGTTGTTTTTGCTAATACAGGATTTTTCTGCTGATTAGATATGACGTGTTAGTGAGTTTAGAGGTGCTGGTAGGTGGATTTTGTTACCTTCCAACAGAGCCGGGCTAACTGTTTCCCCCTTAGTCTCTGTGCTAAGCTAAGCTAAGTCTTAAAAAAGGTGAAGCGTCCTTTAGATATTACCTCTACATTCTTCTCCTCTCCTAACCTGAACCTAACACTTATTTTAACCTTTGCTCAGAAGCTTATTATACTTGAATAAAATAAAAAACTCAAACTTTTTCTCTCCATGATAGAAGGGCAGGAGCAGAAACACTCACAGACATCCCTCTATATACAGTAGAGGTCACAACCGGTACAGGAGGCCTTGGATAATAGAGCCACAGACGGCTGACCTGAAATGACAAATAGCTCGACACAACTGCTGATGCTTCAAGGCCACAGCCGCCTGTACTGTAAACGATAATGGTTTCCCAGCCAGACAAGGAGAAACCCCCAGAACATACATCATCACCCTGTAGCTGATGCTTAACACAGGGATATGCAACTCGATTTTATAAAGACATGTTTGCTCACACATACAGTCCAAATAAACTCACTTATTGACACCCATCAAGATACATAATTTAATAAAAAAATTACTAATACGACCTCCCAAAGCTCCAAATCAAAATCAAAATCGTCACCCCTAAACGAGACATAATTAATGCCGCACATTAAGTGGGCATTTCACAAAAGAATCTCCCTAATGAGGTTGGTTGTCGGGAAAGTATTTTTTCTTTCATCAGTGCCTTTAATTAAACACTGAAACACAAAGAGACACACAGATATTAATCACTTTGGTTTAAGCTGCTTTTCATTTCAGCAGCCATTAAAAGTTGCACCGCTCGACTGCGTTCGACATCAACTGCGGCTGAATGGAACTGTGTCACTGTGAACTCAGGAGACCTTCTAGTAAAAATAAAAAAAAAGATAAAAGAAACGTGTTTCCTGCGAGAAGAAAAGCAAGGGGTCGCTCAAAGTATCATTTTGTGCTCAGTGTTTCGGGGAATATTTGGCAAACCATATGCGTTTGAAATTCTTTGACTTCAAGATGTGCATAATTTCCCTACATTGATATTCAGCCACCCTGGAGCGAGAGTGTCTGCTGGAGCCGTCTGCTCCGTGGAATAATGGGAGCAGGTGGGTGTGGCAGAGGGCTTCTGGCAACAACAACACCGGAGACCTACCTCCACTCAATGTCTCCATCTAGTGACCATAACATGTGGAATATTCCTTTTTCACAGTAACAGGGCAATCACAGTCGTTTCCAAAATGTTTTAGTACACCTTGGACTTTTAAGAAATATATTTTATTGTCTAATTTCAGTAGCTTTCCACTGGGACGATGCAACCCTTCAAAAACATACACACCTCTGGTCAATTTGCTCAATATTCTTATTATTCTTTCTAATATCTACTGCATTTTCCTGAAATACACACAGTACTATGCTAAATATCACAGTGTGCACGTTGTCTTTAACCCCGGGAGGGGTTGTATAACATATATTGTTCCATTTTTTACTTCAATAATGAGCATCTGTCTGAGCATCACAGAGTACATATGAAAAAGAAAAGATCTGGCCCAGAGGAACAACCGCTATTAAATGTATCTGATATAAACCTGACTGGGATTTAATATCAAAATCTATCTGATTCTGAGGATGTAGATACAATAAAGCTAAACTTTTTTTTGTCATAGTGAACACAGGGTATTTTAACAAGCATTTACATAGATTGCACTATTGAAAAAGCCAGTCTAAAGGATAGTCTCACTGTTCATTTCCCGTACATTGCTCGTGTGTGCTGTGATTAAACATTTTAATCTCGATACAGATGAACTCACGTCTTATCTTATCACAACAGTGCCATCATGTGTTGAAAACTAGTACCACAAGGACAGAGGGCTTCCCTGCAAACTGATAATCATATTGAAGCTTTTAGAGAATGTTACTGAAATTCTACATTTGTATTTTCTAAAAGTTAATCAACACATTTGGCTTTGACTGCATGGGAAATGTTGTAGAGAATTCTCTTCCAGCCCAACAGATGTTTGCGTTGCATTCTCAAATTAAAATGAGAAATGGCGGATGGTGGTAGCAGATAAAAGTAATACTCAGCAAACTCAGCAATAGCATGCATTAGAGTGCGATTACTAATACAGAAAACACTGTAGACTGTTATTTACAAACATGTCATTGTCATGATGCAAACCTATTAATGAGCCAAACATAACTCAGTCTGCAGGTTGATTTATTCCACAGATAAAATATGATTCATGAGAAAGTTGGTGCAACAACTCCCTCATCACACCCATATACTATTATACCACTCTAAAAAAAATACACACACACACGACTGACTCAGCGGTCATATCTCATCAATATTATTGTTATGCACAAAATATAAAACTAGCATCTGTCTTTGACATCAATACATAGTGGCTGCAATGTTACTTCTGCACGTTTATATACACAAAGTAGTTTCTATGCAGTGCATAGTCTCCACAAATCTCTCCTCGTCATGATATTGCATAATAAATATCAATATGATTCAGACGTGTGTTGGCAGAGAAAAGACTCAAAATCAGTTAAGACAGAATAAATAAAACCTTTGAGCGAGTGAGTGCATGAAAAGATGACGGTCGAGGCTGTGAAACACGACCTCCTCTTCGAAGGGCTACTGTGCATGTGTGTGAGCGGGCACTCGTGTCTGTAAATGTGATTATGTCATACACAGAAGGAGTCGCCTCATAGATCCTGAGATAGCCGTCTGTCACCAGCAATGTCCTTGTGGAGTTACGAATGGAAGAAAAGTGGCTCACCAGCAGGCTAACCGCCTTTGATAACACATCTCAAGCAGGAGAGGGTGGAGCCCACAAAGCACTGCCGACACAGAGAAATAACAACTGTGCATTCAAATCATGGTAAAATAGGTTATATTCTTCATGGATTCCTAATTCTGAAGCTGTAATCGTGACCTCTGCGCCTCCTCGTGGAGTCAAAACAAACTTCTAGCAATTACCGTTTTCACTAAGAGTGGAAGGCCTGAAATCCGAAATAAAAGGTCTTGTACTTTATCCAAACGTTCTCTGATCTATTGTCTCAAAGACATGGTGCACCTTTCTGTTTTCCATGTAATACTGATCTCCTCTAACCAGTCATCAGGGTATAAGATGCTGGTTGCACAGTAGACGGAGGAAGCAGAGTGTCAGTGCATGACAGTGAGTTATGAAAAACTATTACTGGAAGTTGGATCTCAGCTGATTTGCGTGCTTCAGCATCAGTTGATTTAAAGAAATAACGCGCTTTATATTCCCTCCACTGCACTGAAGACTCCTGCTTCCTTCCTGTGTGTTTTTTCATTGGGAACCCCTCACAGTTAGAGGTCTAACTCGCCCGCCTTGAGCAATGGCGCCTGTTTCACACCACGACGGCCGTCAGAAAGCTATGACGCAAATGTCTTTCACTTTGTGCTTCACACCTCTTCAATAAGCGGCGTGCTACCGGGCTCGGTTCAGGTTGACTCAGCCTGACGACTGCTGCAGCGAGCAGGGACACAGGCTTCAGATTATCTGTACAAAATTGTCCATCATTCACGGTATTTCCTTCTCTCCGGTTTGCTTTGTGCTCCTCGTCCTGTTTTCTCTCTCTGTCCACGTTTGATTCTGGGTTTCTGAGCTCTCTCTTTCTCTCAGTGTTGCAAGAGGAAGTTAGTTGCCATGTTGATGTCGTTGTTTGAAGCTCTAAGGGCTTCAAGGGCATCGGTCCGGGAAAAGCCCATTTCCACTAACAGAGCAACCTGAGGGACAAAAAGAAAAAAGCATCAGCGAAGACGGCAGCGACAGACAAATCATCACATGGGAATAAATAACAAGGGTGCACAAAGTAAAGTGTAGGAGGGCCAGGGAATCAAGTGATTTTGAGTCATGCAGGATGCAGAATATGTAAATGAATATCCAGATATAACAGCAATACAACCAGTGAAAAAAGCCTTGAAAAGGACCCCTAATAATAAAAGAGATATACACAGAAACACACAGGCGAACACTCACTTGCTCCTCTACGACAGCAGAGTTGTCCGATAGAGGGGACTGTGTGGACGGATGTGTCTCAGCCTGGGGAGGGGGCTGTATTGGGGGACGATTCTGTCCTCTTTGTCTCAGCGAGGGGAACAACATCCTGGTCCACTGCAACAACCCAGACTACACACACACACATATATATATATTTTTTTTTTTTCTGTGTTTTATCTGTGCATCAGTGCTACAATATGTGTCCGTCTACCTGTGGCTGTGGTCTGTTGTTGCTCCTGGACTCGTTGTATTGAGCCAGCAGCAGCTGCTGGTCGAGCACGTCCATCCTTTGCTGCCTCTGGATGTCCAGAGTGGCCCCCATACCCAGTGGCGTCTCACTGCTCGGCTGGGAGCCTAGATAACCACAGACACGGACATAATAGGCATGAGGCAGACTAAAACAACATGTAAAAGAGGAGTACATTAATCATCAAAGTGTAACAGGGTGACAAAGACACATTCTGGTTTTACTTTTCATTAAATGAAGGAGAATGAATAGCATCAATTTCACAATTTAGCATGTGTTAATGCACTGTTCAAATTCCTAAACTGTACAAATATTATTATTCCTCAATTAGACAGAGACAGCCAACAACTCCATGTCAGGCCCTGCAACACTGGTCACTGTGTAAAGGCTTTGCACAGGATCTGTGTCTGTGATCACTAACGGTTGGACTCACTTGAGAAGATGGGCTCCAGAATATACCGTCCAATAAAAGAGACCCAGGCAGGAACAAAGAGGAGCTTCTGTAACCAGAGAACGTTGGAGTGGTACAGTCCACCAGAGAGCTAAAAGAAGACAAATATGTTTTTAGTACTGAAGTCACAAGCCAAACCTGTATTAAGAAATATTACAATGAATGAAATTACTTATGAGAAAAGATGCTTTACAGCAGACAGCAAATTAACAGCAAACTGCATCTTTGCGGCACATTTTAGCCCCTTTAAGCTCATTGTTTTGATAATCTGGCCCATAAATCACATATTGCAGTTTTAAATAGCACGACACTTCCTAAATACACATTAAATAACAAGAAGAATGTGCTTACTCACCAGTCCACTGAGAGCGAGGAGCCACATGAAGGGACTGGAAGTCAACAGCTGCACCACAGAAGAAGAGAGGAAGACAGAAACAATCAGGATCAGACAAGATGGAAAGTGAGTAGAGCGAGAAAGCAAAATAGATACATAAATTCCCACACTAGTAGAACATGGGCTTACCTGCAGGCCGACTATGTAGACCAGAGACTTGTTGGTGATGGGGATGTGGCCCAGGACCTGGGTGACTGGCACCCTGGGGATCAAGCGGTAGAAAGGCACAAACAGAGAGAAGACTGGAGCGAGCCTGTGAGAGGAGAAAGGGAAAAGTCAAGAGGATGCAGACAGCAGGAAAAGATAGTGTTTCAGGCAATCTGGGAGACACAATGTTAGGCTTTTGGAACAATTCACTTAAATATCTTTTTGTTTGTCAAACCAATTGTTTTTGTAGAGTTGGGTTAAATGCTGCTGTCGCAGTCCACCACAATCTAAACTCCGTATACTAAAATATAATGCAGGCAGGGGATGAAGACATTTAAAAATGGATACTGCCCAAAGCTTAGCTATAAGGGGGAAAATTAAGATTTTCTACTTAAGTGACACATGGTTTGAACATCATAAACTAAATGCCAAGCTATTCATATCCTCAGTGTCCATGAAAATGAAAGGCTGATCTCTTTTCACAAATGCAGCACATGCATGACTGAAGTTCAGCATGAACGGTGGCTACTGAAGTGACCCAGATACTCACAGACCGGCAGGCAGTTCCTCCACCTCATAGTCAAACAGAAACTGGAACGCCTGAGCCAGCAGGAAGTCCATCAGCGCAGAGAGACACCAAGTGGCCAACAAGAAGGACTAGAATGAAGACGAGCACCACATGTGATGATTAGAACAACACATAACAAAAATAAATCACTGTCAAATGTTGGTGTGAGAACTGCTTTGTGCCAGATGAGGAAGTTGTGTCCTCTTCCCTAAAATATGAAGTTGCTACATAGGGAAAGCTCAAATTGATTCTGATTGATGATGATACCCTTCATCGTGTCAGCATCTGGTTTAGCTAAGAATATCAGCAAGTTTATTACATTTTTATATATCTGTGTGTTCATCCATCAATGTTTTTTTTGGTACTTACGGCAAACTTCCTGGTGCCGAACCGCCTTTCGAAGATCCGGAAGTTGTAAATGAGCAGGCCACTACAGAAGCAGTCCTTCACGTCGAGACAGACCAGCCTGCCACACAACAAGCTCCACACCTACAGCACAAGGTAAAGCAAAGTCACACACACACACACATACATACACATTGTGATGTTGTTATTGGACAGATACTGGAGACGTACCTGGTGCTGCTGTGCGACAGCCTGCAGGTTGTACACAAACAGTTGTTGGTACTGTGGCAGCAGGGTGAGCATCACAGTCAGCCCACTGAGGACCAGCAGCAGGCCTTTAGACAGAGGAGCCTTGTCTGTGCACAACACACACCCAACACAACACACTTACGAAGGGACAGTGACATTGTGGCTTTCTGCAGCGAGCAGCTTTGCATGTATACGGTATATTAGGCAAACGTTTTGTTAATAGACGAGAGAGAAGTAGCTAGCTAATTTGTATACGGTGGGGCAGGGCAGATATAGTACCGTTAATATGAATTTAGCTGGCTATTTATCGATTCAGAAAGTGCCCTTTTCAACGATGAAACCTGAACTGACAAAACAAACCGTTGGTTGTTAATTAACTAAACGCAGCTGTAGGTTTAACTGGTATATACTACCTCTGGTTAATGAATGACAGCGCAATGCTAACGTCAGTTGGCTAGCTAACGTTAGCTGTATAACCGTTGTAACTGATAGGAGATGAGAGAGACCGCCTCAGCCTGTCGCTTACTGGTGGTTCCGGGATACTTACAAAGGCCCCGAGAGCCGGTGGTGGTAAACATGGTGTACAGATGAGTTAACGGAATCCAGGCGAAGACCGTTAATCCCAAGGTAGTGACAAACTAAACACTAAAACGCCGAAATAAAGTTGGAGAAAGGATCCATGGTGTGACTGTGAAGCGAAAGAGACTGGGGAAAGGGGATCTGCTACAGGAGCTCGAGAAGCCCAGAAAGCGTTACTTCGCGGTCCGCTGACTTTAGACTACAATTGTCCCCTAGAGGGCGCTGTTGCTCCGTGTTGAAGATGAGATGATGATCCACAGATACGTTTTACTGATAATAACCATATTCTAATCTAAACAACACATTTCACGAAGGTCTTAAATACTGAGGGAATAACAGAGAATTATGAATAAGCTCTTTAGGTGATCAATTGCTGAAGGAATGCCACTAAATAATAAAACTATTTCCACTTAATTTTTAGAATAGAATAGAATAGAAATATACTTTATTCATCCCCAAGGGGAAATTTGTCTGTGGCAGCAAATTCTAATTGATTATACAAATAAAGTAAAAAAAGAGGGGGAAAGAAAATTAACTTGGTCTTCAATGATACATTGCTAATATGTACTAGATAAAGAAGGTAGAACTTCTACTAATAACAATACTATTAATAATAATAATCGCAATAATAATAGCAATGCATTAAGCAAAGTAGCCAACAACCTAATATAAATAAAAAAATCTAAATTCACAGTAAAATAATAAAACATAACACATTCCCTATCGCTGCCCTTCTTGGGGAAAAGTTTCTGAATCTGAATCTTATTGTTTCTAAATGCTGCAGTTGATGTACTTGCATGATTCCTACAATTTTTGGTTTGTATCCATATGATTGTATACACTTATTGTAAGTCACTTTGGATAAAAGTGTCATCTAAATTAATATACTTCTACTACTACTACTACTACTACTACCGATGCCAGTAATAATGATAATGATAGAGAACAAAACAAGCAAGCAAATTAAATTATTTGAAGCAAACAAAATGTAAATTGTCTATTTTTTAATGACAGATCGCAGCCCCAGTTTATCCACATAGCACTGAGAGCAGGGCTATCATCTGTAGACTCTGTGACCACTAAGAGGTCCGTACCCAGGTTGAAGACAACGAGATCTGACGACTGCGGCACCCTGTGTCTTGCTCACAGGCATTTCAGCAGGGATGCTGCCGCCGGATGATCCTCTTGTGAAGGGCAGTCTCCTTACCCACAATGCCATCCTGCTGTTATCTGATGCTCCTCAGACGCGGTATTCCCAAGCCCTGCAGCACTGGCCTCGTAATGTTTGTCATCTATGACCATTTGCTCAGTCTGTAATATGTGTGTTTATGGGTTGGATATGCAGAGAAGCAGCAGACAGGGAGTGTTTCACGTCTTGAAGCCATGTGGTCAGCTTCCTGACAGATAGGTAACAGTTATCCTTGGGGCCTTGAGCAGGATGTGGCTGCACAAAGTCCGGATTAATGCCTTTTTCTTATGGTCCTCTTGGCCTTATGGACACAGTGTCGTATCTTGTCAAGGTCCAGACTTCCTTCGACTGCTTTGTCTTACACTACAGCCTGCCCGATTTTCCTCACATCAAACCGCTGTGTATACCTTCGTGGCTAGCCGTGATTGCTCCTGAGCCAATTGATCGAAATGCTTATGCTACGTCCAAGTGCATTTAAAAAGATATGGCGAACAGCTGTCTAATAGTGTTGCATTTCCCCATCATCCACAGATGCAGTATGCGTGTTAGCTCCTATTGGTTAGTTCCCACCCATTAGGTCTATTTGGCTGCTTGTGGTCAGATGTGACTGCAAAGCAGAGCTGAGGAACAGCTTGCTAATTGTGTTTCAGACCTTCTCTGTCACTGATGTAGGAGTGAGGTCTAAAAAGGTTGCTTTGCCCCTGTTCTCAATCAAAGATAATCAGATTAAACAGCGCAGAGATGTGCAAAAGTGTGTAAGTGTGTGTGTGCTTACCAATAAAGAGAGTCCAGATTTGGAGACAGCCTTGACTCCTGCTGTTTGCTTTGTTCATTAAGAGGAGATGAGCAGATGGTTTGCTGGTCTGTTGTGCAGTACACACATGCGAGCACACACACACACACACACACACACACACACGCAGAAGCACACGCACATGCAAATACACATACACACGTGCATGCTTGGCCCTGTCACCTTAGCTTTATCCTCCATTTATCTTTTCCATTACACATCTCTCGGCAGGACAATGCTACTCGGTGAATTGTAAGGGATGCGTGTGTGTGTGCGTGTGTGTGTATGTGTGTGTGCAGATGTGTGTGAGAGAGATACAAGGCAGCGTGAATGAGTCGAGCGGTGCTGAATGAAGTCACAAACCTTTTTAGGGAAGACAGCCCGCGAGGTGGTCATCTGAAAAGCTGATGACTCATTCACACATTCATTTAGGTGAATCATTGCTATTCACTTGTCAGCCGCTCTGTATTCAGGGAGAATTGCTTGTAACTGAGGTATTGTTTTACTCCCGCATCACAGCTTATCTGCCTGTGTCCAGGAAATGGCACGCTGCACATTTACACAAGGTTGCATGAGCAAAATATGCTCTACTTCAAGGATTTTTTTTTGCCACAACAAATGGCTTCATAACAAAGTGAAACATTTCTATAGAAAGCTTGAGAAAATCCTGAGCATGTACCGTGTGTGCTAAGAGGCATTTGTCTGCTTCAAATGTAAAATAAAACAATCAATGTTCGACAGCATTTGTGATCCTCGACCCCTTACATAATTAATCACATATTCATTAGTTCTCCGTCTGCATGAGTGAAGGAACACTTGGTGTAGTTTTGCATGTCTCCAGCCACACACGCTTTGCTTTCAAATATCTCTAATATGTATGCAGAAATACCGTTTTTTTCTTCAAATTTCTAAATTACAAGTTGATATATGTTACCAGACATTTTCAGGGCTGCAATCCAAAATAACTCAGAAAATATTAACTCGATATGGCTCCATCTCCTGCAATGCTAATATTTGGCCTGCAAGGATGATAAAATAGCCACAAATGTTTACACAGCAAAAAGCATGTTCTTCTATTTTCTTTAAAATCTATTTCTTGTCTTATCTTTCTATTAATTTACATAACAATTTATTGGCCCAATAATAGCTTTTAAAGTTGCTCACCCTTCTTTATCCTGAGAAAGTAACATGATAAGAAATGAGTGCAGCCACAGAGAGAGAGAGAGAGAGAGAGAGAGAGAGAGAGAGAGAGAGAGAGAGAGAGAGAGAGAGAGAGAGAGAGAGAGAGAGAGAGAGAGAGAGAGAGCGCATTGTCATCATGTTTCACTAAAGGGCAGCTCACATGTGACCCTGCTCACCACCTTCCTGTCTGTCTGTCGATATTTACGTGTATGTTTTTGGAGATGGTGCAATAGTCAATGTCATATCACACCCCACTCGCTCACATATGCACAGACATGCAAGCACATGGACCTCCCCCTCTTAACACACACACACACACACACACACAACAAAGTTTGTTTGTCACAAAAACAACTAAACTACAATATAAAAATCATGCATTCAGAAATTGCACTTGTGAAATAAAGAAAGAAGCACTGACACAATTTAATAAAAAGAATTTGTATTGTCAAACTGCACTACTGCATAACATACACAATACAAGTCATTTACTGACTGTACAACATGCCAATATGTTTTTGTGATAATAATAATAACAAAAATGATGACTATATATTGTATATGTACACAACTCTGTTACAAGTTATATCCGCCACTTGTGTCCAGATAAACAGCACTGACAAAAAAAACCCAAATATGGTCGTCTTCATCTAGGATCTAAAAACCTTGATTGAAAGAAACACAGTCAAACACATCATCAGAATAAAGTACTGTTCCCACTACGGCCGAGATTCGCTGATAAATGCAATAAATTAAACAAGAGAACAATGGAAAAGTTCAAATGTCACCCTTCAAATGTAGGGGAGTCCTCTCGAGGAGGCGGAGATGTGCATCTCGGATGCCACTGCGCGGCTGAGCATGCCTGTCTATTGTATCTCTCATAAATGAGGAATCTTCATCACTCTATTCTTCCATTCATCTATCCATTCATCCGTCCATGCTTCCACCTCGTCTTCAGTACATCCCGGTGGTCTGCAGGAACACTCTGCCCTCTGAAATCCAGAAAGAAATCCAGTCTAATAAAACACAATCACAATTCTATAAGTTATAATGAATGTAGACAGATTATTTAGGTTAGATCACAGTGACTGGAACAGTAGAAAATGCTACAAAGTCATACAATATTGAACATTGTCCCCTATAACCTTGCCCTAAGAGCATTAATAAAAGATTATTATTAAGTAAGGCTCAGTTGAAAGTCTTTTTCGGCCCCTGATCCCTGTTTTTGGCGATAAAACTTCCTGGCACAAAGGAACCACATCCTGCCCTGCTGTCTGACAGACAATTCCCCTTTAAATGATTTATTACTGGGTGTTAATTATGCAAATGATGTCCAAACAAACTCGTCATGAGGACAATTAAGACAGCCGTTAATTAGTGGCCAGTTCTCTTCTTGCTTCACTGACATTCAATTAAAAATTGGCTTTGAACAAGCACGCTGTCTAGTACGGAGGTCCTGGCACGGCGCGGAGCAGAGGTGGGCTGGAACCATGCACTCTTTTGATGAGGCCGGACTAGAGATCACGGCCATTTCTTTCTCTGTCTATTTAAGACGTTACATGTGGGATTGTTTCATTAATGTATCCCTGTGAAGACAATAACGTTGGCAAAATAAATATATTAAACGCCCATCTCCATTAAAATGGTGGCCCCAGTGAACTGCCTCACGCCTCATTTAATTTTGTTCAACTTCTCAGGAGCGGTCTCCCTGTGAAATCTTTCAAAAACCCCTTCCAGTAGACTGGTCAGTTAGGCATCAGCGAGTAATAATGAAATCTGCTGCCCCAGCTCAGTTGATTGGAGCTAAAGAAATCCCCAGCAGCAGGTATATCACAGTTTACTTCACAATTCTTACACTGAAAAGTCATTTTTAATTATCTTTCAGCAACCACAAACTTGGTGCAGTGCCTTAATGTTGATACACTCACTTTCACAGTTAAATACATTAATTCACACTTTCTTTTAAGAACTCGACTCACACTTAAACG